ATTATCTTTGAAATTTACTCATTACGAACATTTTTAATTTATCTTGTCATTTTATTTACCTCAAACTTTAAATTTAAAGTTTAATCAATTATCCTAAGTAAATCAAATAAGTTTTGTTGTCGATGAGGTTCACAATTATAAATATGATCTTTAAAATTTAGTTATTTCCGCAAATCCTTTTATTTAATTCAAGACAAATGAGGATGACGTGGAACTTCGGGTTCACGGAACTCGAGGCACTACAAAAGAACCCTAAAAGGATGCTGAATTTGAACTAGGTTTTGACTCTTTTCCTCTTTATTTCCATCGTCGAGCTCCATTCAATCGGATGAAATTTTTCCTTCAGACCTATGTACTTAGCAGCAACTAGATAGAGTCTGGGAGATGCCAGGGTAGAATTTCAATGTGAACTTTGCTTGTAAAGGATAAAGGCACCCCTATTTAGTGATCCTTCTGAACATGTTCATCATTGAATTTCGAAGTCATTAATCTTCCAGATGAATGATTGTTATCACCGTTTATTTTTAAGTGCCTTCTAACTCGATTGTTGGAATAATTAAGCTTATTATTTACCTCGAGGAATTTTTTCGATTTGTAAATATATTATTGTACATTTAGTACTCTTGCTATTGGCTATAATATTTTAGTTCTATGATTGCCTATCTTGACCTAAAGTGGCAAGAATTACACGATCTTAGTGTAATATTATTAGAAGATGGAGGGGTAGATTAAAACTAGTACAATGTGCTATAGTTATTTGAATATAGTAGCTTTGAATCTTTCAATAATAAATCGAAGGAGATTAAGGGAGTGATGAAAAGGATCGAGGGGTAGATTAAAACGAGCACTATGTGCTATAGTTATTTGAATATAGTAGCTTTGAATATTTCAATAATAAATTGAATGGGGTTAAGGGAGTGATGATAATGAATTTATGTAGGGAACTCACATTTATTGGGAACAATACTCAGTTTGTCATTTCTTGTTTACTTCACTGTTGTACAACTATAATTGCTACAGTGTTAATTTGGTTTTGGCAAAATGTAGATGTGGTTTAGCTTTTATTTTTGACTTCCACTTCCTAAAACTCATTTTTTTTCTCAAATTAATTAACTACCTATTTTTGCGGGATCCACAACTTTTTAATCACAAATTTTATTAACTTTTATTAAAATTTACTAAAAATCTATTTTTTAGATAAACCAAATAGGGGCATCTACACTATTCCAATGAATGAACATCATCAATCAAGGTCTTTTGCTGCATTATATAAATCAAAATTTCTAAAATTTACTGAAAAACATAATTAAATCAAAGCAACTCCCAGAAAATTAGTTTAATGCATATGTGATTCACAATAATGATAGAATTTGTATAAATAAACAAGATTTTAGTACGAATTTCATAAGAAAAAAAGAAAGTGTGGTAATGATATGTTAATAACAGCCAAAGATAAAGTAGAGGCCAGGAAGGCAAAAGCTTAGCTTAGTAAGGAGTTTGAGATGAAAGATTTGGGTTTGTCAAGGAATATTCTTGGAATGGACATTTTGAGAGATAGGAAAGCTGGCAGATTACATTTGAGTCAAAAGGGTCAAAAGGGGTACATTGAGAAGGTACTTTACATGTTCAATATGTAGAATGCGAAGGCTGCATGTACTCATTTGGTTGCCCACTATAAATTATCGTTTGACTTGTGTCCACAGCTAGATGAAGACATTGATTATATGTCTTGGGTTCCTTATTCAAGTGTAGTTGGATCGCTTATGTATAATGGTTTGTACCTGCCCAGATTTAGCACATGTATTTAGTAGAAACATGGAAAATCCTAGCAAGCAAGATTAGAAAATAATACAGTATCAAGTACTTGAGGGGCTCTACTAATGTTTGTTTGCATTTTGATAGAAATACAGATGGAGTTGTTGCAGAATTTCTTGAGAAATATTTATCTTGGCTCTAAAAAACCAACCAAACGAACACCACAACCACCAAGGCTTGACCCAAGCTTCGTTTACCATTGGTTGCCATCTTTATCCTCTCTTGTTACTCTCTATTTAGTACCACAAAGGACACAAGGTGGTGATTACAATGGGGAAGAAAGGATGAACAACAATGGTGGAAATTTCTCCTAATTCCCCTAAACTCGGATGCCCCTTTCTCGTACTCTTCCTTCTATTGTAGCGCACACAAGACACACGACTGTGTATATGTCCAAATATTAGGTTAGATATATTGGTCTAGACTTATCAACATGGGCTAAGTAATACCTCTATAAATGGGTTCCAACTTAACCAAATAAATGGGCTAATATCCATGTCCCAACTCAAACTTGCCCCTTTCGAAAAGTGTTGGTCGTTTTTGGGTCAAGTCAAGTCTATGGTGTTGATAAACTACTCGAAATTCGTTTTAAATAATCGCCCGGATTTATTAAATATCAAAACACAACGAATCTCCACCTTGATATCCAATCAATATGCAAGCAAACAAAATACAGAGTTTATACTTGCATAATCAAGGTAATCAATAAAATTGATACCACAGACCTTACCTCGTGTTTCGGACCCAAAACACATACCATACATGTTCTATATCCAGGGCTAAGGTTAAGAACACCCAAGTAGAAGCAGATAATCACAGTAATCAATCAAGAGCAAATAAAAANCCAAAACACATACCATACATGTTCCATATACTCACTAGGGCTAAGGTAAAAAAATACCAACCAGAAACAAATAATCACGCTAATCAATCAAAAACATATTCAACGTGCAATGAAAATATAACATAGGATAACACTCAAATTTTTTCAAAAAGCACATTCACACAAAATAATAGACTAACACTAAGTTAATCAATCAAACGGTTAAAATACATACAACAAATGCATAAATGACACCACAAAAAGATCTTACCACACTTATTCTATCCCATTCCACATTATTCGCACCTCGAGATCACATATCTCCTCTTATTGTTTACCATGCTCACTAGACTGATCACTCAACTCATGTCTAACTTCTAAACCACAATAGATCCTAAGTCCACGGAATAATTCTCTATCACTACCTCACTTCTCCCAAATTAAGTGGATAATGAGTCTCTATCAAATAGAAAGGATAGAAGTTTCTCTTTCACTCCACCTAATTAGGATCTTCACAGATAAAAATTTCCAACATTTAACCTCTCCACTCGTGATCCAAATGTTACACTCCACATCCCCGTGGATATCACCAATGAACCCTAGGCATCTATACTATA